CCTTTTTTTTTTTTTTTTTACATGGTAGTGTCTTTCTGTTTCCAATTTTAAACACCATAATTTATGCAAGATTTTATGCCAACTTCATATCCATATTTTATGTACTACTATGTATCCATTCTTTTTGCTCATTGCTATGTTAATGTCTTCCAAATTTAACCAATGTAACCCAAAAACTTTTTCTGAACCCAGTCACTGTTGTTTGGCTCACAAATTCGTTCCTATTGGAGATTCCTAGATCACTAGGAATAGGCAAGCAATAGGACATGCTCTTAATAAACAACAAAGCAAAGCCACCATTTCTTAAGGAACAGCAAAGAGAGAGAGAAGGAACTGCAAAGAAAGTAATACGTACCAATAGGCAGGCTCTTAACTATTTAATTAATACAACTGCTCTGTCTCTTAGGTCATCCCTTTACAGCCAATTCCAATTACACAATATTACTGACTCTTTAGCTTCTAAATAAATAATATTAATGAATGGTAATCCTGGGTAGATGCAACTAAATGGGAATGGAAAGTTCCATTGCTCTATTTATAAACACTTAAGTTCAATCTGTTCCACGCAATTAAAGTCACAAACTTTACTCTGAAATTATGTAAACTTCTAAGAAGAAACAGCTCATGGCTCATGCTGGCATCATCCTAGCCAGATGAGGGGTTCCAAGAGATCTTTTAGAAAATGTATGCCTTGGGCTGACACTGTTAATTTGTTCTTTTTCAAGTATGTTTCCCACCTTTGTGGTGCAGGAGGTCAGGTGGATAACTGCAAAGGGCTGCAAAACATCTGTGCACGTGAACATCCATTTGTGACAGGCGAGTGCCCATGCCAAAATCCCTCCTGCTTTTTGAGTAATCTGCTATAGACTCACTCTTTCTCCTGTCATGGGAGGGATGTGCAGAATAGGCTTGCAGGTCCCAGTGCGTATTTCACATCTTTTGGCATTAGGGCTATGGCTGTGTTGCAGAAGAGGTGTGGTCATTCCAGATCTCCGATTACCTGCTTATTCTGGATTAATTTAAAAGCCTGAAACTCGATCAAAATACTTAAGCATGTACTCTGAAGGCCTTCAGGGCAGAGTTAGTTTGGGTGACTAGTCTGAACACCTGGGATACCTAGCTTGGGTGTGAGCAGCCACACTGAAAAGTCTTGCCTGCGTCCACACTGGTGCTGCACTCATTTGTGCTGGATCTTGGAGGCGCACCTCCTGTGGTTCTGTGCTGCAGTCACCGATTCTCTCAGTGAATTGAGAGAAAACATATTTATTCTTCTGAGTAGATGGAAGAAAGTGAAGTAAGGCATTGGATGAGTATCTGTAGTGGAGTAATCTGGCCTGCACCTTTGCTGTAAAGTGTTTGAGTTACTAACCCGTGTGGAACAGCTGTTCTATTTGAAGGCTGGTTCTTCTAACAGTTGCTTGGGGCTAAAAGTTCTTTGCAAAGAAAGCACTCTGTAATGTTTTTCCTTATCAAACTGCTATTAGTAAAAGAGGAGGATGCAGAAGGGATCTAACAGTCCAACTGCACCCCCCACCACCCCTCCCAGCCAGGGAGATTTTTTTTAAGTCCCTGAAGCAGGAAAGAATCTCTCCTTCCCCTCTGTGCTCAGTGGCATGTCCTCTCTCCTCCTGTTTCCTCCCTTGTGCCTGCTGCTGACACTGTCTTGACCAACCCGACTCCAGAGCCACTCCTGGCCCACTCCAGCCAGGCTGCGTGGGAAGCTGGGGACAGCAGCAGTGGTGGGTTCTCCTTCCCAGCCCAGTTCCCCTGACTGTTCCCTCTTAACCTAGGAGCAGGCCCAGGGAAGGGGAACATATTCACTGCTGCTGGTGCTCCCCAGCTGAACTTGGCCTCCATACAGCCCGACTGGAGCAGTGCTGGAGCAGCTCTGGACCTTCCCCTCCAGGTCACCAGGGACAGCTGGGGGAGGGGTTTCATAGTTGGTCGGGTCGGAAGGGACCTGAGCAGATCATCAAGTCCGACCCCCTGCAATGGCAGGAAAGAGTACTGGTGTCAAACGACCCCAGCAAGGTGATTGCCTAGCCTTGTCTTAAAGACCCCCAGGGTAGGAGCCAGCACCACTTTGCTTGGAAGTTGGTTCCAGATCCTAGCCGCCTTGACCGTGAAGTAGCGCCTCCTCATGTCTAGTCTGAATCTACCCTCTGCCAGCTTGTGACTGTTATTTCTAGTCACTCCTGGCAGTGCTCGGGGGAACAGGGACTCCCCCAATGCCTGCTGGTCCCCTCGGACTAGTTTGCAACAGGCCACTAGATCCCCCCTCAGCCTTCTCTTGTGGAGGCTGAACAGGTTCAGGTCCTGTAGCCTCTCCTTGTAGGCTGTGCTACTGAGCACGGAGGGGGACGGATTGGGTGTTATAATGGGGGGGTGGACGCGAGTCAGGATTTTTATGCAATTCAGATTATGTCTACACAAGACATTTACTGCAGAGTTGCCTAATTAGCTCTGCAGTAAATCTCTCAGCATCTACCCTTGCAGTGCTATCAGGACAGAGTAAACTAATTAACTCTGCCATAGGTTAGTGCTTGTAAATACTCTTCATTTACTAATTACTTCTGCCTCAGCAGTGCATGTGTAGATGCTGACGGGGCTGGATGGGGCATGAGGGTGCTTCAGTGCAAGGGCTGCTTGCCCACTAGTGCTGCACTGTAGCACCCTCATGCCCCAGCCAGCCCCTCCGCAGCATGTTGGGCTGGGTCGAATCAGTCCCAGGCTGGCACGCTGACCCCCTAGGTCCCCTGCTAGCCAGGGCTGCTCCAACCTGGCTCAACATGCTGTGGTCCAGGGTGCATGCATAAACACAGTACCCAGAAGTAATAATCTCCAACACAATATGTGCTTGAGTTTATTGCTACATATTAATATGTAGATGTAAAAAAAGTCTCTGGCTGCTGCTCCTGTGATGTGGTCTGTCAGTCCCAATGGAGAGGGAGGCTGAGGTACGTGTGGATGAAGTCACCCTTGCAGCGCTGGTCAGTGATCCCACACCCCTCTTTACAAAACCCCAGACCTGCCTATGTTGTCAATATGTACAGTGAGCAACTGGCTTGTTCAACATCCTCGCATCAGCTTACACCCTTGTATTCAGTATATCTTCTTTTTAGCTTCCTCCCTCAGGTCTCCAACCGTCATTCGCATTGTGCCATTTCTCTCTCTCTCTCGTGTACTTGAACAGCTTCCTGAAAGCAAGATCTGTTACTAACTTTGTTTTGATGACATACGGTATTTTTCAGACATGGATCTTGAAGTATTTCGTACAGGAGGGTTATTACTGAACCCAGAAAAAGAGAGATAAATTGACTCTCTACAAACAAAAGCAGGCCAGTGCCAGGAAAAGCAACTACCGTATCCTCTTTCAAGTTCCTCTCTTTTGTAATGCATACTACATGTACAATTTAACACTATCTAAGCAAGTGGAGAGGTGCTATCACTACTGCTAGCCAGCTAAGCTTTGACATACTCTCTGGGGTGAAGTTACACATTGCACCTAGACTAGGGGTAGCCAGCCCACGGCTCCGGAGCCACATGCAGCTCTTCAGAAGTTAACATGCATCTCCTTGAAACTTTGCACAAGCGCACCGTGACCAGAGTCCAAATGGAAAAGCCGCATGTGGCTCCGGAGCCCAGGTTGGCCCCCCCAACCTAGACCACAGAAATCTGTGGAATATTAAAGCAGTGTTCAAGTTAGAACGTGCCGTGAGTAGTCATATGCTAAGGGTTAATACCATTTCTTGACTGAATACTAGAGGGCTGGTGAGCAGGGACATGGCTGGGAGACAGGACACCTGGGCTCTATCCCTACTCTTAGAGTGCAGGGGCTGGGAACAGTACAGCCTGTGATGCTGAAGGACTGCAAATTGTTTGTTTTATTTCTGTAAAGCATATTGAAATTTCCCTAACATGAGCAAGGGCACAGCCTAGAGTTAACCCTTGCTTGAAATGGTGTGACTTTGAAATGCTCGGAGGGTACTTAGCATAAGCTGCCAAGCTTTAACATGTGCATGCTTGCATTTTAAGTGCCCACAGCCCAGCTTAAGTATAACTTCACCCTTTTATATAATGGTTAACTACTCTTAATCCCACTTCAGCTTGTTCATTTGTCTCTGGCCCGCTCATTAAGTCTGGTTTAGATTGTAAGATCCGAGACAGGAAGTGTCTGCTGTATGTCTGGCACCTACCTGAACATGGTCCAATCTACTTAGGAAACGGAGGGGATGTTATCGCAACAACAGGAACGGAACTTGGGCTCCCAAAACCTAATTCATGTGGTCCTCCCCATTAGCAGAGCACTTTGTGCTAGAATACAACAGAGTCGTATGAGAGAAGAGGTGAAAGTTGCATAATTGAATCACTAAAATCCTGACTCAAGAAACTGAACACACAGAAAACAATTCAGTGCTGACAGGGGAACAGTCTACAAGGAACTTATTAGTATATTTGTCTGTAACTTCTATGATTGTGTAAGAACAATAGTTTCCCTGGACATAAAACAAAAAAGCAACAAAAGGCTGAAAGCAAAAAAAAAAAAGAAACATCGAGCCTTCACGTGTGTGTGTCAGCTGAAGTCAAGCACACAGTTTAGCATTCTTCTTGCTATTCAGATGACGATTGATACTCAACCTTCACCAACATGTCGTCATTTCTGGTTGGTAAATCATGGCCCTGTTAGTCAAATTTGTCACCCCCTAATATTACTAGCAAGGGTGACCTTGTTTGGGAGTACTTGATGTCCCTGATAGCATAGGTCCACACCACTCCTATTTAGGCTTACTGCTTCTCATTCCCTGGTTATCATGGGGCAAAGATAACTGGAGGAGCCTTGCTCATTAAATTACTGCACTGTGTTTTTAATTAAACAAAGCTGGAGTGAAAGCAGCGTAAACAACACATGACTGAACTTGAAGAAACAAAAGCCAATTTCTTTAAAACAAAAGAGCACTGATGAAATGTTATGAGCATGATTGGAATCTGAAGTCCACAGGCTATAATAGAAAACAGCTTTGGGGGGGGGGTTTATGCATGGTGAAGTAGAAAAACATTATTCTTTCATATTAGTTTGCCATAAGAGAGATGAGATGTGAAGCCCCTTCTTTGGGAGAAAACCCCAGGCTTACATATAGTTCAAAGACATCCCACCGAGTAGAGTACATAAAAGGGCCAAAGCTCGTGTATCAGCGGAAGTATAAATGAGTTCACTGATGTAACTGAGAGCACAATTTGGATGATGTGGTTGAAAGAGTCGAAGCTGATGCTGAACCACATGCAAATATTCAGTTTAAAAGTTTCCTGTAAGCATAAGTGCAAAGGCCCGGCACATGCCTATGGTCTGCAATTCATGCAGGGCCATTGTAGTGATATGAAAGGCTGCATGTAGCCAAACCACAGTGATTCTGTGACACAGAAGTGGGTGGCCACAGAATAAGTGCACAGAAAAAAACTGGCGTCTCCTGCATGCCGTGAGGCTGATCTTCCCAGAGCTCCTTGTGGAAGGGTTCTTGGACTAAGACAGTAGTCTTCTGGAAGGTTTGTGGGGGCTATTTCCACCCAAAGGGAACGAGAAAGCAGAGAGGGGCTTGACAGTATCCTTGCATCATGTTCATGTGTCCAACAGAGAAGTCTATTGTCTGAGTGCCCAAAGCAAAACTCATTTATTATTTACGCAGCAGTTTAATGAAGGGGGGAGGGTTAGGGTATTAATCCATGTGTGTAAAAATAGCAGCAGCTGCACTGCTGGCCCAGTCATTGCTGCATGGCTGGCAACACAGCCACTGACACTGCCCTATGTGCCACTGCCACCCAGGCACTCAATCCTCTGCTTTTACACAGCAAGATCTTAGGAGCCTGACATCCAGCTTTTCTGCTGCAGCACAACATGTTCAGCCAGCAAATAGCATAGGTGCTAATATGGTCTGGAACAAAGTTCATTGACTAATAGAGAGAGAGACAGCCAACTGCATTGAAGGTGCCTGTAAAAAGACTCAGGCAGCAGGAATCTCGACTCAGCCCTACTTCATTGAACTCTTCAATCCAAATCTTGTCTCTCAAAAAAATCATGTGCAACAAATATAGCTGTTTTCATCTTTTGAACTTAACCTGCCATATGAAGCTGAGGAAACCGTACCTTGCCTAGATGGTCTTTTATTTTAACAGGCCCATTAGCACAGCATGTTGTGGTATCCAGGGGGGAAAGAGTTGTGATCACTAACACCCCACTAAGATTGTGGACTTAGCTGCTTGACAGTTCAGTGGGTGGGAAACTGGCTGCATGAAAGGACCCAGAGAGTTCTCATGAACAGATCCATGTCATCCTGGCATGAAGTGGCCAGTAGTGTCCCTTAGGGGTCCATGCCTGGACCGGTGCTTTACATCTTTATCGATGATTTGGATGGGGGAGTGAAAAGCTCGCTGGCCAAGTTTGCGGACAACGCCAAGTTGAGGGGCAGTGTGGTCACGTCAGAAGATAGGTTGCAGATACAGGCAGACCTGGACAGGCTCGAGAGTTGGGCAGACTGGAACCAGATGAAGTTTAACACTCCCAAGTGTAAGGTGCTCCATCTGGGGGCAAACAACCCTCAACATACATACAGGCTTGGTAGTGACAGCTTGACTTGCACCACGGCTGAGAAGAACCTAGGGGTAACGATTGATCATTGCATAAATAAGAGCCGTCAGTGCAACATGGTGGCCAGCAGGGCAAACAACACCCTGGCATGCATCAACTGATGCATCTCACGTATAACTAAGGAAGCGATACTCCTGCTGTACTCGGCCCTGGTGAGACCGCAGTTGGAGTATTGCGTCCAGTTCTGGGCACCGCACTTCAATAAAGACATGGAAACACTTGAGAGGGTCCAAGAAAGATCCACGCGTATGATCAGGGACTTGCAAGGCAAGCCACACAAGAAAAGGTGACCTGGGCCTCTTTAGCCTAAAGAAGAGAAGGTTGAGAGGGGACTTGATAGCAGCTTACTGCTATACCAGAGGAGTGGGTGAACAACTGTTCCCTAGGGCACCCCCACGGAAGACCAGGACCAATGGATACAAACTCCTGGAAGGCCACTTCAGGCTTAATACCAGGGAAAACTCCTTCACAGTCAGGGTGTCCAGACTGTGGAATAAACTCCGTCACCTACCCTGGAGGTTTTCAAGAGGAGCCTGGACAGTCACCTCACTGGGGACACCTAACCCCAGTTGTCTTCCTGCCTAGATCGGGGGGGCTGGACCCAATGTCTGCAAGGTCTCTTCCAGCCCCTAACGATCTATGAATCTATGAAAACCCAAGTACTTCCAGTATTCCTTGCACTAAAACACGGCACTCTTCGGGATTTATGGACCTGAATAGTCTATAGGGCATAGAGGGCTAAACCCATATCACATTGGGTCAACTGAAAGATTCCCATTGACTTCAATGGTAGTTGAATCAGTTTCTGTATTATCTCCAGATCAGAGGATCAGAAGCCCAAGTATGAGCTGGAAATTACAGGCAAACAGCTTGTTATAATTCTGCCTGCAGATACTTCCCAGCATTAGAGTCTGTGTTTAATGAAAGGGCTCACGAAGAAAGGAACAGAGATGGATACTGCTGTTCCTATTTCTAAGTATGTGGAAGGTTCATAGGGACTATAGGAGGTGTGGCCACTTGAGTATCTACATGATTACATACGTTCTGGCAGGACATCAAAAGGGATATTTATATGAATTGTCTTTATAATTTTCCTAACGTGGCTTTATGTTCTTAGGAAAAAGTAGCATTTGGGACAAATAGTAACATACTATTGCCTCCTCCCTCCTAACCAGTTAAGATAAAACTTTATTATTGAAACCATAAT